TTACTGAGGGACAAGAGAATGGTCAACGTATTTTCTATCACATCTAATTGGAATTTTGTGCTGATCGCCAGGATATCGATTAGAACCGCGAGTATAGATAAAAGAGGTTCCTTGCTGGGCACCGAGTGCGTCAATTTCTTTTCCAAAGGTTCGTTATCCTCTTGTACTAGACTGAGATTGCAGTTGCATAGAGTTTCGAAGATACTGAGAATCTCATATTGTACGTTGACGTCGCTGCTACTTTTCAAAGTGGAGCACATCATCTCGATAACCGGCGGATATTTTTGATCGGATTTTACTTGCGCTCTGGACGCCGGACTGGTCAATGTTAGCAAAGTAGCCTTCATAGGTGCATGCCTAGCTAGATCATTGATTAGAGCGAGAATAGGAACATTATTCTCTAAAGGAGTGGCTGCTAGAATACCATCTAAAAGACATCTCCCAACCAAAAGAGCTGTCGGTGCTGCCAGGTCGCTTAATTGCTTGCATACTGTCGATAAAAGAAGTAAGACGTTTCCATTCCAACTCGTGCAGAGTAACCGAAGAGTTTCAGTGAGATTCGTGGCCTGAGCTTGAAGATGTGCTGACCAGAGCTTTCTTAGACCCAGAATTCTTGTTGCGTCTTCAATGATGGTCTCTTTCGGTGTTAAGACAGATGGTAATAGGCGAGTTAGCAGCTTTAAACCTGGCACGAAGTTGCAAGGACGGAAGGAAATCATCTTCAGAACCTCACCTAGCATCTGAGTCCATAACGATTTCGCCACGTTGCCAGAACCGTCGGAATCGACAGCTTGCGTAAAGACTAGAAGCGTCCCCACGATTTCTTCGGACAGAATCTGTACCATTAGATTAGATGGGATGGCTTCGATCAAGGAATAGACTCCGAGCAGCGGAACGACGGCTGTAAGATCCTTAAAGTCTGTTGCCATGCACTTGACGAGTCTCTCGAGCAATGCTCTGGTCAGCTTCACGCAAGGAAGCAACAAAGCGATTAACGCCATGCCTCTGCGACCAGTTAGAGCAGCACGATGAAGAAACGGTTGTTCATAGAATTCAGACACGTTTGCCATTACGGCAACCAGAGCGGTGAGACCGTCAGCGGCGAATAATTGAGTCAGAGCATTTCTGTATTTGAGTTCAATGTATGGTTCTAAAGGGTCAACGTCATTATTTGATGGGAAGATAAGATAATGCAAGATTCTACAGGCGGTGATTAGCTGGCCTGGGAGCGATGCAGCCTTCTCGGCGCTTTTCCTGATAATCGTCACCAAAAGGGAGACGTCGCAGTAATCCCAATGAGAAGTTTGTGCCGCGATTGTCAGATATGATATCACATCCCTGAGGATGACATGCTCGCGAGCTTTGTCCAGTATTAATTCCGCACGGTTCTGAAAGATCTCTACCCTGTCGGAGTAACGGACAACCGCAGAGATCACTTCGGCGGCGAACTCGCAGAGATTAGAATCTGATAAGAAAGGAATCAGAATATCTAAGAAATCGCCCAGGGACAAAACTGTAAGAATGGCACGCAAACCGTCTGGAAAAATGAGAAAGGAATGCAGTCTCTTCAAGATCATCCAGTCGGAAGTCTGTTTCAGACGAATCAGGCACTGTGCAACTTGGAGACGCCACGCTAGGATGCGCCCAGCACCTGGTAGCTCATACCTCAGAGCTTTTAATATCAGTTGAACTCCTTCGATCTCTTTCAATAAGTAGAAGAGACCTTCCTTAGTATTGGAGAGATGCAAGAGGAAGCGGCGGATTAATTTAATCATTTGCAAATTGCAATTAGGGGAAGATAATGCCAGTAGAAGATGATGGGCCAGTTTATGATATTCGAAATAAGCTACCAGATGAGCACGGGGATTGCGAGTATGTTCTCGTTCGAATTCCATCTGGGCACCAGCTGGCAATTGGCGTTTAGGCTGCGCCATCAACGTTGGGGCGTACACGTAAGCATTCATCAGCTCTGTTAAACCGAATTCGTCGAAATTCTTGATCTCTTCTAGATATTCATACACATGGACTTTACGGAAGAGCGAACTAAGGGCATATTTGAGCCTAGCTAGCTTAGCTGTGTCTAGCATCGTTAGTGCATTTCTGTACAAGTTGTTCCTTAGAAATTCCTGTACGATTATCGGGCTGATCAATGCAGCATCGAGGGCTCTTAGAGCGGAAAGTTTCACTGGTAACGCCACGTTTTCGCGCATACAAAGGGACAGTAATTTATATGGGGCTTGAACTTTCAACAGAATTTCTGGACCTTTCGATAATCGACAGAGAGCTTCTGCTAAGCGAACTCCCACTTTCACGTGTCGTACTTTGTATGCTGGTTGCGGTTGCGCCCTAGCGAGCTCCATATCTAAGCCAGCATTGACAATATCAGTCAAATCATTGATATCGTTTATGTCGGAGTCAAATGGACTTAGTATGGCACACAAAGTCTCGCAGTTATGAACGAAGGTTTCTTTTTCTTGACCGGATGCATTGTGGAAATGTGAGACCGATTTGGAGAGGGATTGTAGGCTCTCTCTAATCTTCAATAAGGTTTCATGGTTCACATGAGTATCCTCCAAGTCTCCCAGCTTTTCTAGACTTAACAAATCAGGTGGCACCATCGCGTAGATTTCATCCATTTGTGATGCTTCACACTCGAATTCGGCAGTAGATGGAACATCATCAGTCATTATGTCCTCGTCCGATAATATCGGCTCGAAGGGCTCACCAGTTTCTGGTTCGCCAGCTTCCTGTTGCTCTGCTTCTTCTTCTTCGGCAGAGATGGACTCCGGACTTAGAGAGATCAGGGACTCGGTAGGTGGAGACAAAGGTCTTTTTGATGGTTTTTCGCCTGCGTTGGACGTCTCTTCTTCCCATTGTCTCGATTCTGTTTTTCCCGTGTCGGACGTGGTCGTCCTGGACGGTTCCACTACTTGGATTGGTTGTGGTGATGGAGTTGCTGTCACGCATGTTTCTTGCTGCAATGTAATTATGTGTTCAAACTCGAGTGAAAATTGGATTATTAAAAAAATATGAAGAGGATATCGCCGCTATTAATAGAAAAATGAGTAAAAAAATTAGCATTAGGGTTTAACTGTAATTACCCTATAACTATCAAATTAATATGAATAAATGATTTATTAAGACCGTAATGTGAATACATAACAAGAATATAAAAGCCTATGTGATATATATAGATATATAATTTACATTGAATTATTTAAAGCGTTAAAGACCCAGATTCTATCATTATAGGCTTTTATATTTTTACTTATTGTGTATTCAAATTAATACGCTATTAAGATCAAATATATTGAATTACAAATATTGAAATAAAAACATAAAATATGCAACATTTCATTTTCTAAACATCCTTTACATACTTTATTTGAATTAAAAAAAAATGACATGTTAGATTTTTTTACCGATAAATTTGTTTGATGTTGATTCTCGTAATACCATTCAGGTTGCTGTTCAGAAGGAATTTGCACAGCATTTTCAGGATTTTCTTCTATGGAGCTAACGCAAGCGGTAGAGCCAGCGGCCGAACTAATGACCTCTTGGGGATTGTTCAGTGATTTGGTCAGAGTACCGTACACTGCAAGCGTAATAGTGGTATACCATCCTCTCAGTACCAACCCATCCGTTGGTATCTGTTTTCGTTCGCATTCCAATTGGATATGGATATTCTGCTTATATTCTAAACCACCTAAAAACTCGAAAGTGGAAGCCCCAGGTTTGCTGAGATCATTCACGAAAAACTCGATCTCGAATTGTGAAGGATTGGTTGCTCTAAAAGAATGAAGTCTCTTGTATTTCTCAAAAGTTCAAATGTTAATATTGATTAATGATTTGAGAAAAAACTGCTATTTTTAATGCTAAGAGTAAAGATTGATTACCCAAGTCGCACTCCTCCTGGAAAATCTGCCTGTACTCTGGCACCTAATGGAATGATTCTTACTTCACTAATATAAACGGGCTTGGGAAATTGCACTAAGTCCAAATTCAATTCCTAAAAGCATAATTTCTATATGAACATCATGTCATCCAAATGTATCATAAAAATTAAAAGAAAAAGAAAATTGGGATTATATGTAGAATAAGGGATTTTTATAAAATCTTGTGTGTAAGCAAAGTTTTAAACATTGTTTACATTCAAATTTAAGTCTAAAATTTAAGTCTAAAAAAAAATAAAGTCTTAAAAAAGGGATAAACTTTTTTAAGAATTTACTGACATTTTTTATTTGCAATGCATATAAAAATAATATAACAAATTGATGATAAATATACTTTTCTATAATAATTATAATCTTAACATAATTTGATAATAGAAGGGACAGTTAAATATTTCCAGTTATAACAATTATAACCTCAAAAATGTAATCTTCAAATATGTGCATAATACAGTAAAGTGTATTAAAATTTCGATGTATCACTGATGTAAATTTTAACAAAATTTCTAATAAATAACTTTCCCTCAGGTTTAATTAATCGTTATTAAATGCATGTAAACAAACCTCTGAAATGTCGTGGGAAAACGTATCGAAGAACAACAATTCGATATTATCCATGTCTCATACCACTAAGTAAATATTCTTGGATAACATAATATCTTAAATATTAACTTTTGATAATAAACAGTACTTTTATTCTATTTTCCATTTTATCCGTTAATCTTGTACTATTACTCTGCACTCTCCTTTATTTGATTATATACACGTCAAAAGTAGTACATTCTGTATGACAAACGTTTTCTTGTGTTTCGTATTTTGTAATATGTATTAATATGTGTTTGTTGTATAATAAATATTATACAATACAATTGCAATTATACATTCCGAAATGACAACATCAGATGGCATTAGTGAGCATCAGACAATATTATTTGCGTTCTGAAAACAACTATTTGCGTACTTTACAGCTAGGGAGCGTCCCGTTTAACTATCTTATTGTAATTGGTTACAATGAGCTACAACGGGCGTTGAGTCCGCGCTGAACGCAACTATACTGCACGGAGTCGATTATTGGTGTGTTCTCTGATTAGAGCCCAGAAAGTGTGGCGGCGTCCACGGAACACGTGTGTGGATAAATATATCCAACATACCTAAGAATGGATGATACGACTGATGATAAATCAAAAAAAGCACGTAAGCGGACCTCAAAAAAGGAGACTGAAACTTCAACGAAAAAGGCGAAAATCAATAGCTCTATCGAGGAAGTAATTGAATATGATGTAAAACGACAAAACAATGATTCTGATAAAAATGACATGAAAGACGTTGTTTGCGATGACCAGCAGGATATATTTAACGGACAATCTTTCAGAACGCTTTTTTCTTCTTCTAATAACTTAGCCGCTCTAAGGAAGTTCGTGACAATATGCAAGGAGAACAAAGAAAAAAATCTGGCAGCAGAGTACCTGCACGCTGGTGGCAGTGTCTTCGAAATTTTAAGGCTGTTAGAGTCTTCTGATAAGAAAAGTACTTCTATTGCTACCACTGTCTTTTCTACAACCTATATTTTACTAATGAGGTATACGTCTAGCCGAGACAACATGCATGGAAATCTGTATATTTAACTCTTAAATATATAAATACAAAAGTTCTCAAAAGGATTAAATATTTAATAATGATATATCATATTATATCTAACAATATAAATGTATTATTTTATTGTTAAAATTGATATTATCATTGCATTTAAGTATTTTACATAAAGCAACCTTTAATGTGCATTAATCCAATGTAGTACGAGTGATCACATTTACCATAACTTTAATTTCAGTTTAATTCATTTTTCATTTTTTTTCAGTTCTAAGAATTAGAAGAAGATGAAGAATAAGTTCAACCGAAGTTAAAATTAATCTATATTGAAATCTATATTCATTTAAACACAAAAAGTAGACTTATTTCATTGAAGTATATTTTATTTGTAGGATTTTGACGGAATGTCCTCAATACCGAAATAGTGCAATAGAAGCTTGTCGTCACTTACTAAATTCATACATGTCTATCGTGTATTCTATGCTTTCCATTCAGAGCAATGCCAAGCAGCGTAAAGTAATATTGAAGCTACTAGCGGCAATAGCATCTCTAGATAGCAGTTTGTCCAGAGAGCTGCTTATCCATCTATCGTTGCAACAACAAACATTAGAGAATCTGGTACAGCAAATCAAACCCATGGATTCTCAAAGTGTCAGAACATGTTTCATTCATTTTGTTCTTGCTTTTCTCGTGGAAGGGAACGCGCTAGTGATCAGAACACTCTTGGATAAGCGCAATTTGCTTTGTTGCATCTTCTCAGAACTGCTGTACGATTCAAAAGACATCGTCACCTTAGTTCTGACCACTGTAAAGACGTACGTGCTGGAGAATATTGGTGTTAGTAAAACGACAAAGTTACATGTATTTTCCACATCTACTGTATTGAATCTGATATCATTGTACAATTGGAAAGGTCCCAACAATTGGCCTAAAAACAAAACTCACAGTTGTGATGACAGTGAAAATTTTCTAGCAGACAAGGAGGTAATTCTCAATCTTATTATGAATTATTATAAATTGTGATATTATTTACAATATAGACATTGTCAATCAAGAATTGGTTTAATTGCAATGTAGTATTTTTTATTAGCAAGAATATTGCTTAATGGATAGACGTATTTGATATTAAGAAATATAAAATTTTATATTAATTTATTACAATAATTTTGGTAAAAGCATAACAAAGCATATTTCTCGATTGAGGAACAATATTGCGGAAAATAATAAATTTTTAATAATTTTTTACAATAATATAATTCATAATTATCGAGCTTTTTGTTTATTTTTCCCGATTATAATTTAGGTTATTAGTGACATAGTACATGAATTCTTAGTCACTTTGTTAACGTCGCATCGTTATGGAATTATTTTCCATGACCGAACATTGGGTAGTTCACGAAATAAGCACAATCAGCTGATACATACAGTTCTTCAGAACTTGGAGAAACCTTGGGAACATGAAAAGCCATCAAATTTGATTGTTAGGATACTGAGTGCCTGCCCGGATCTAATTCGTTCGCAATATAATGTGATTGAGTCATTTCTTGAACCTCGAGTTTCATCCAAATGGATTTGTCTTCTTAAATTTATAGGGAAGGTGAGATGCCTATAGGTTTATGCGATAATTATTGTTGTGCGTACTATCTTTTCAGTCATCTTTAGCTTATAAAATTTTTTTTGCAGATAGTGAAATCAATCAATCCGGTTAATAGTATCAAAACTTGCTCTGTGGAAATGAAGGCAAACAATTTGATAAATGCATTACTTTCTCTGACAGTTCCAAGCACGATTGTAAAAGTCGCTATCTTACCAGGATTAGATCACGACAGTCTTTCTGTTAGACACGAGGCATTATCTCTTCTCCTAACAATGACTAACCAGCTGAAAGCCATTTCTTTGGCTACACAGGAGTTCTATAAAACATCTATAATTCAAAATCAAATAACTCATTTTATTTTGAGAATTGTCCCTTCTTTGGAAATTATATTACGAATGTGGAACCGAGCTTTTGAAAAAGACATAAAAGCTTCGGAAAACGCGGAAAGTATTCAGAGTCCAGAATTGGTGGATCATCTTGATACTATTTTGAGTGTTCTTCATTCATATCAGGATATATGTCCAGAATTATTGGATATTTCAACAAATTTACAATCGAATTTTTTGCTATCGAGTTTAAATAATCTCCAAGAAGAAGGAACTATTAAGATGGAGAAAGTAAATCACATGAAAGTCAAGACAATACAATTTCTACTTGCTTTGGACTCTTCTATTTTTGCTCCTAAAGAAAAAGCTTTTAAAGAAGCTCTTGTCTTCTTGATATCTCTGATCCGTCAAAAAGATTCATCACCGGATAGTTACAATGCTATTAGAACGCTGCTACATACAACAGATTTGTTCGAAACTTGTGAAGATCAGCTGGATATTTGGATCAATGGCTTTTCAGTGGTTGCGGATTTTGAAGAGAACGAGCAATTGACGCAGTGGTTTATGTCTGTTTTGAAAAGCGCCGTTAAACACATTGACAAGTATGTAAATATTATAACACAAGCAGAAGGAGCGATAAATGATCAAATAGCTAATTTCAACGTTACAAAAACGGAGGATATAATTAACGAATTGTTTGATAAAACCAACAAAATCACCAGTCCCTGCCAAGAAAAATTTTCTACAATAACATCGTCTTTAATCAACGGACAATTTAGTTTTGATGAACGAAAAATTGATATAATCGATAACAGTTTTAAATTTAATCAAGAAAATTCGAAAGATACTATTAAATCTAAATATATAACACAAAAGAATGACCAAGTGACTAACTTTGATACAAAGGAGATAGAGGATGTAATTAATCGATTACTTGATAAGGCAAATCCAAAGAACTTTCCTTCTAATAAAAATCATCCTCAGAAATTCTTATCTACATCAATATCATCTTTAACAAATGAATTTACTAATTCCGATGAAACTGATGAGGCAATTCATACTCTCTTTAACAATTTTGGTAAAGAAAATCCTTGTAGAATGCAGGCTTGCACGGCAGTCTCACCACTTTTATGCTGTGCATTGCAAAAGATGAATGAGAAAAATTGTGCCACAATCTTAGCTTATTTATCTTATGTGATGGTTCATACTCTGCACTATCAAGTTGTGCCTGATCTGCTGGCTTACATGGCAACAGATTTGACCAACTTGCCAATTTATAAATACTTGCAGAATTGGTCAAACAGTAAACAACCAATTTCCTTGAAAAACAAATTATCATCTTTAAGCTTATTGTATAAACTGAGTAATATGTTGCTGGCAGATTCCAAGATGGACGTAACTGAATTTTCTAAACTGTTTAATGATGGTCATTCGACGTATTGTTTTAAATATGGCGACAAAGAAGTCACTATTAAGCATTCTTTATCTTTGTACGATGTTAAGACTTTGTTGAAGATGACAGTGTTTTATTTAGCACAGCTAGCGCAGTCGAAAATTTTACGGCAGGCCCAAAATGAAAATTGCAAGCTTGTGCTTGTGTTTTTGTTAAACATATCACAATCTATTGAATTGAATCAAGAAAATGCAGTAATACTTGAAGAAAGCGCGAGATATATCTTCACTCATCCTATTTTGCTGCATTATTTCTCGCCATTTTGTGGAGAAACTTCGAAAAATTCGGTGGAATATATGATCGTTGAAACTATTCTAAAGATCTGCGAGTCTATTTTGCATTTGTGTGAGAAACATAATGCAGAGATCTGTAATATTTTCTTTGCGTTTAGAAGTAAATTCCTCACGCAATTGGAGAATATTATTGAGAAGAATCCTTTGGAAACTTGCACTAATAATTATGATATTGCTATTGAATTATTGAAGATATTGCAGCTTGAATCGAAAGACATCGCGAGCTTGTTGTTCGCTTTGATGAAGTTGGAAAAGAGCACTTTTATTTCGAGCGACAAACAAAACTTGTCCGTATTTGGATACATCGTTCCGGTATTGCTGGACATGTATTGCAATAAAGAATCAAGATTGCGTGATACGTTGAACGAACAGTTTGTAGAAAAGTTTAGCTTGCATTTGATTTATTTAAAGTCTAGTAAGATAAATCACATGGATGGATGGGAGAAAGCACTGGCAAGATACTTGTCCACTTTTTCACACAATATTTCCGGTATCAGTACCAACATTTTTGCACAATTGCTAACAAAAAGTATTACCGCGTCTACGGTCCAGCTGATAACTACCTTGATCACCAAAAATACTAGGCTGATCTCATCGTTGATGAAATACTTTCTCAAGATAGAAAATGTGAAGCAAGGAGACGTTGTGTTTCCCATACTGGGCAGCAGTTTAAAATACAAATGGAATGAAAAGTTTCTTCAAAGTCTTTATGAGCGTTACGGCAGCGACATTGCCGCGTATATAACCGAGTCACGAAATCCCGTTCCTTGGATCGAAGAAAATGCAGCAGCAATTGTCTACCTCATCGAAAGCACTTTCGATCTTGCTCTGTGTGGGAGAATCTGCAACACTGTTTCTCAAAACGGCGATAAGTTGGATATGGTGTCCATTTGTTTCGTGCAATTGCTAGAAAGTGTATATAAGAGATACGAAAATTTAGTAACGACTAAAAAGAAACCTTTGATGGATCTAATAAGGGTATTGCTGCATATAATGACATTGACGTTAAAAAAGGAATCAAAAAATCTACAGAAGATCAAAATCTTATGCGGGAAGCTAAATGATGTAGTGATTCGTTTGAAAGAAGTGGAAAATAACTTCATCTTCAGTTCATTGAGCAAGAGTTACTCGTGGCCGCAGTTTACCAGATTTTCCTTAAAGTTAGGTCTAAAAGATGCTAAAGACGAGGCGACTCAATCCAATATATTGAAAACTCTGAGCAATTTATGTGACATTACTTATGGAGATAATATTGATAATGAATATGCGAAGACATTGTTTGAAATGACAATGTCCCATTCAGAGTTTGTTAATATTATGCTTGGGTCATCCTTTATTAAAAGTGAGTTTATTTGCACAATGTGTATTATTTGGCAGGAATATAATAGAAAGCTATATTTATTTGTTAAAAAGTATATATTTTACTGCAATTTGTAATCCCAAAATCAGCCTTCATAATAAAATATTATATAACATCTTGTAAGAATAATATACCATTATTATAGACAAGTTTAATCTTTATTTAAATATTTTATAACTATAGGCGATCTGGTCGAATTATTAAGAATACTTACTCGAAAGAATCGTTCTGTAATGACTATTTCGCACGTACCTCTTTATCTCGCAGCTTACAACGCTACGCTTTGCCACGTAGATCAGCGTATTTTGCAGGTAAGAATCGCGATATATGGTTTAATCCTGATTTTAAATGTAGTACTGTATGTTTTTGGTTGCTGAACACGATGCAATAATTCATTTAACTCTACGATATACACCTTAAAAAATACAGCCCGATTAATGTGAAATTAATTAATGTGAAAAATGAATTCAAATTTCGGGATTATTGCGCTTAAAAGAATATTAGATAGTTTTAATTTTTTTCAGATTCTCCAGTATTATGAAACTCATAATGTTAAGCTTCAACAGTACTGGCCATATTTGTGGGGGAGCGCCGCAGCAACACGTTACAGTGTAAAGGGAGAGACGGATACTGCACTGTGGAGACAACCTTCCACTTTCGAAGTCTTTAACTTGTTCAATAAGGACATTGTCAATGAAACTATAAAAAATTATCCTATACACAGAACTATGAAAGTAAGTGACCTAAATATTTGTTACAAGACTGATCTCAAAATTTTAAATTTTACAGTCTGAAATATCCTCTACTGTATAATCTTTTTTTTTTTAAATAAATTAATTTTAAGTATTTATGGAAACTACAAGCACACAAAAATGAATAGAATCATATATTTTATGGAAGATTTTTTTTTCTTTATAAGATTTTTATTTTATCTTTGGAGAAAAATTTTATTCTCTCTCTATTGCCTTTTTTCAGAGTAATAAATTATATATACACAAAAATAGTAATGTGTACGATCCAGCATTTTATCTGCCATTACTGTGTACTTTATTAGCAGAAAATAATATCGTTGCGTGTTATAAAGTGAGCCAGAGTGGTGCATTGGCGTTAGTACTTGCTGCATGTTGCAGTGATTCGAACGATATTCGGATGACAGCATATACCATTATCTCTAGATATTACTTTCATTTGGAAGCATCCAAGTAAGTAGCAATTTTAATAATTACACAAGAAAATAAAATCAATACATACATTGTGGTAAATAATAGGTCTTTTAGAATATAGAACTTTATTATTTGTCATAATTTAATTTATTTGTTAGTAATTTAATTAATTAATTTAATATTAA